GAGGTTCCAAAATTTTTTACATCCCTAATTGTACTTTCCTGCGTAGAGAAGAAGATGGGATCTGCCTTTCTTTCTGATGGGGTTTGGTTTCTGTGGCTGGATGTGGTTCCTCTCGATGCCAGCACTGTTTCTTGATACTAGTGATTTTAACTAGCTGTTGCAGCATCCTAACTTGGGTGAAGCTGCACTGCTAGAGGCTTTGTACTGGATCTGTGTCACGGATCTGCAAAATCCGTGGAATGGAAAGAGAAGGAAACTGCATACTTCCACTTTGCCGTTTTCCCTCAAATTTTGGGTTGTATGTAATGACAGCTAGAGACAAGGGTACTACAGAGACAATAATGTTAGACCAATTGTTCCTACTACAGTAAGGTATTACACTCCTTGAGTATATATGCTTGATGTGAACGCTTTTAATGTCATGTTTCCAGACAAGATTATGGAAGTGACATTGCTGCAAGTCTGAGATTTTGAAAAAGCCTTAATAAATTTCTTCTAAAATTACAAAGTTCTGAGTCCGCACGGCATACTGGCACTGCCACATAGAATATGGCACTTAATCCATTCGGTCTTAATAAAGGAAAACAAAAATGCTTTCACATTCCAATAAATTTGCTCACAACATGGACTTGTGCTGTACGAACTTAAAAACCAAACCAAACCAAAACCAAAACACATTTAAAACCCCCTGCGTCTCAAGAAAGAGCAAGTGCTCTTAGCACGGTAGAGAAAGGAAGAAAGTAGGAGAAATAATATTGAAAGATATTCACATGTTCAAATGTTTTAAGGTCCAAGTGGGCAGAGAGTTGGGCATTAGAGGGAGCCTTTTGGAGCTGTGTTCGGCTGTAGGGTCATGACTTGTTTTTTGGCTTGAACGCCTCATGCCTCCCTGTGGAGGAGGCTTATCATTAGCTGCTCCAGATTGTTGAAGCTTCAGAAAAGTCGATGGAGATGTGAAAATTCACCCACTGAAGCAGTTTTAAGTACCTGGCCCTTCTGAAAAATCAAACTCTTGGGGTAAAAGCATGCTGAATTCTCGAGACTGACCACTTTAGGAGAACCTTTTTCCAAAGTTGCACCTAATCTTTTAAGGAGGTAGGGGAATTATCAAGCAGTCTTATGCCTTAAAAGACTGCAAGTTTGTCTTTTCTTGTCTTAAATGTGGAGTTGTATTTCTGTAAGAATAGTGAGGTTCAACTGAGGACTCTGCAACTAGTATTGAATTGGAAAGAATATTGATTTTTATTTTTTAATTATTTTAATCTGAAAATAATGATTGTTACCAGAGTGCACATAGCAGCCCTGAGTGAAACAGATGGAGTGCACAAAATTGTAGTATATGGATTGTTATACTTCGTTTTGTGGTTTGTGGAGCTGGTTTTTTACATCAGATTACAATTTCTGCTCTTTGTAGGTACGTTTGAGCTGCATCCAAAAGTTTAAACAGGGAAAGACATGAGCTCATTTGCAGACTGCATCATTAGCAAAAATGTGGTTACTTTAGGTAGTGCTGATAATAGTCTTTGCTCATAATGTGATAAACAGCAGATGTTCTTTTCCCGTTTGTAATATGATGATAGCGAGGTTACTGAGTTGTACTGCACATGGCTTGACAGCTTCTCAATTTGCATTTCCAGCTTTCCCATCATTAGCGGACATAATTTCCATCAATAGCAGCCCTGCTCCATTTGTCTTTTTTTCTTCCTTGAAATGAGGACAACTTTTCATCTTGGGAGACTTTCATGTTCACTCCATCACAGAGATGTATTTTGGCACATCCTGAGAGTATCAAACTTGATATTATGACATAAATATGCAGTATGATATTCATCTCTGCTATAATTCCACAAGGTACAGGTAATTGGTTAGGTGATCTTTCATGTGTTCCTGTTCTCAGCTTGCCTGTATTGGGCTTTAAGTGATTAAAAGCAATGCCACCACACATTTCAAAGGACAGTGCAAATTACAGAGCTCTTGCTGTATGTTCCTAACAAAATACTCTGTTCAAGTCTGTTGTGTTCCCCCCGTCAG